AAGAAAGTAAAAAAAAAAAAAAAAAAACAGATCCAGATGTATCATTCATAAGAAATATAACTCACTGGTTTTTTTTTAATTCTTTGAATAAAGCCATGCTTTAAAAAAATTGCATAAACATTTTCAAGCCTCATAAAATTCCATCTTTAGATAATTTCAATTTTAAATTATACTATAAGAAAATTTAAGAAATTTTTGAAAACTTCCTTGCAAAATACTTGAAATAGAATACTTTGGAATATGGTTTGAAGAGTAGTTCAAGTGACTTTTCTAGTAATCCATAGAACTTCAATGTTCTTATCCAAGAATGTGTCATATTGAAGTTCTATAGACCAGTGGTTCCCAATTAGTGGTATGCGTACCCTCAGGGGTACGCGAAATTGCATGAAGGGGTACGCGCAGCAATCTAAAATCGGTCGATTTAAAATTTAAATGCACGAGATGAAGCAATCAAAAAAATAATGGGTGGACCATCAAAAATTCGGCAATTTACAACACGATGTCGAATGCACAAATTGGTTTATTTATAACTAAAAATATTTTCGAAATTTCATCAAAAAATGCATTTGTGACAATACCTAAATGAAATTCTTACGCAAGAAACAAAAATTGTGTTAATTGTACAATTATCATTATTGTAATGTCAGCTAAGTGGCAGTAAAATATTTACTACCATTTTGCACAAAATACCTCTGCGAGAGCGGATTTTCGGCCGAGACAAACATGAAAACTAAACATCTTCACTGACTTCGACTCGAAGATGACTCGAGACTGAAGCTGACCAAAAAGCAACCAGATTTTACAAAGTTGTGCAAAGATAATCGTGCACATTTGTCACATTAAAATTAAATAACCTTATGCTATTTTCATTATTATTAGAATTGTATTTTAAAGGTAATAAATGTAAAAAAAAACTTATTCTATTTATCACTATCTGTCGACCCACAGCTTCGCCCGCATTATATCGAATTTTCTCGTGGGAATTAGATATTTTCTCGCAGTAAAATGTAGCCTATGTCCATCTCCAACATGTAAGCTATCTCTGTGCCAAATTGTATTAAAACCTGTTCAGCGGTTTAGACGTGAAAAAATGACAGACGGACAGAATTACCTTCAAATTTATAATATTAGTATGGATTAATATGTATTTCTCCTATAAGGGGTATGCGAGTTTGAGCTCTTTCTTGAAGTGGTACGCAGGAAAAACTAATTGGGAACCACTGCTATAGACTAATGCTAGAATTATATTCAGTAATTTAAAATCTGTCCTTGAGGATGGCAGAAAAGTTGGTTAGCAAAGACTGTCATATTTAACAAAAGAGCAGGACATCACTTGCTTGCTTTACATTAGTGTTCCATATACAAAAGTACAGTACATTGTATATAGTTTTGTATATATTTTGTTTTTAAATTGTTCTATGAGAAAGTTTAAAAGATACCTGAAGATGAAACCTAGCTAGTTACAAAAACATTGAAGCCGTTTGTAGATTTATATAACTTTTTTAAAATCTAACATAAATCTAAATATAATCTAAACAAGCTAACAAATCCATCTATCTATCAATCTTTTAATTATCTATTGAATAATCTTCCCTCTTTATTATGAATACAAAAAACAAACACTTCATTAGTTGAACGATTTTAAGATTTATTTCAAATAGATAAGCATTAGCTAAAATTTTAACAAATAGTAAATAATTATTATTTTGATGACATACTGTGAACTTTCATATGATGATGAATAACAA